TACCAAAAATTATTAATATTCGCCCCCTTTTTGGGCAGTCCCCATATAATATTTTGCAAAGAAACATGGGGTCTAGAACCAATATTTCGATGAGGCACATTTTCACCGTGTTAAAGTGTATACACCGTCATTAGCTGTAAGGTTGAGGGTATAATTATCCATTAAAAATTTCTGAAATTTGTATTATTGTTTACATTATGGTTTACATAATCCGAAATTTGACATGTTCCCTATATTTTCATTTCTAGTACCTGCCCGTATATCTATGGTGGAGGGTATCCAAAGTTCGGCCCGGCCGAACTTAACGTTTTTTCACTTGTTTATATTGAAATATTTATCTGATTTGTTCCGCGTTTTGAAAATTTTCTGAAACTAATTTGGCCCAAAGAAACACGGCATCTAAAGTGTATACACCCTCATTAGTCATAAGGCTGAGGGTATACATATCCATTACAAATTTCTGAAATTTGTATTACGGTTTACATAATCCGTTTTTAGATATGTCGGTATAGGTCCACTTTTTGCTATGTTCCCTATATTTTCATTTCTAGTGCCTGTCACTATATATCTATGGTGGAGGGTAGTTCGGCCCGGCCGAACTTAACACTTTTTCACTTGTTTTTGGCTGAAGTTGTTAATATGTCAGCATCTTTGAAAGGTTGATGCTGATAAAATTTTGGAAAATGACACAAACGGGACGTAATCTTCATTTTGTAGTAATTTACTTCTACTTTGACATGAAGGCGGTGAAATGAGTAACTTAGTCACAAATCGAGAAAAAAAAAACATAATAAAAAAACTGCTTTCCTCAACTAGTTTTAATCAATTTGTATACCTTTAAACCTTTGTGCAAATGTTTGTAACATGCAAAAGGAAACGAAATTGACACAAGGCTCCTTTTGAGAATATATAATTTAATTGTAAACAAAGTACAGGTCCCATTTATGATTCGCAATGTTTGAAATTTGGCACAGCCTACTTATTTGACGCAAGGATGGATCCTATTGAAATTAGAGAAAATCGATTCAGAAAAATATTGCAAAGCGTACTGAATGAAGTACAAATTGATGTGTGTAGTTTGGTTGTATTCAGAGTTATATAGTTCCCGTATATATTTTCGTCCGTTTTGAGTTGTTTGATAGAGTCGAAATTTTGTATAGATTAGAACAAAGGATACGCAATGGTCTATTGAGTTTAATAGTTTGTTTCTGTACTTTAAATTAGGGCGACTTAAAATGTTTTCTTAATTTGATTGCGGAATTTTTTATGTTTGTATTTTAGATATGTTTATGTTTGTATGGAGATATAAATAGATAATAAGGAAAAAATTATATAAAGTTCTTTTCGGTAAAAATAAATTAAAAAAATGTACTGAGGAAAAAATTATTAAGAATATAATTTAAAATGAAAAATTTGATTTTGAAGAAAAAAAAAACATCCTTGGCGTTTTCTGGTTTAATTTAACATGTAACAAATAGGACATATTACGCTGTATCACAGTGAGACACAGAGTATACAGATTTTGTTTTGAAAATTCTTAGACTACATTGTAATTTATAACTAATATACGCTAATAATTATATGCTATTTTTTTGGTATGTTCCCTTTATTTTCATTTCAAGTACCTGACAGTATATCTATGGTGGAAGGTATCCAAAGTTCGGCCAGGCCGAACTTAACCCTTTCAGTGTTTTTGTCGAATATATTCGACATTTAAAAATTCTCTCTTTCTTTATCCTATGTACCGTTAACATTGATGTTTTTGTTTTTGCTGAAAAACAGGCGAAACTGTCCGAGGGTTAAAACGAAAATTGCTTTTTTCTAAACTCTATGCATTTATATGATTTTATGTACAAAATTTTAGATTTTAACCCTTTTGACTTGTTAAAACGTTTAATGATGTTTGCAAATGTTGTCCGAGGTTTATTAAATTTCGAAGCTCGACCGTCGTGTGATGACCCATCGTGAAAATGAAGTAAAAAGAACCAGTAGATCGATATAACCTAATTTCGTGTCAATGCATAAGTGTAAGCAAAGGCAAGGAATACAAAACAAAACAAGAATATGGAAAACAACCGTTATTTATCGTTGATCTACACTGTGGATCATTTTCACTGCGGCATGCATTTTTTTCTTTTTTCGCTTAATGTTAAATGCTGCCCATAATTATGTAGAATTATTAATGTTTATTTTCCTATTTATTATTACAAGAACATAATATAACTAATTACTCCCCTTTCGTTTTATATTTGTATTGTCAAAGGTGGACCATTTTTACTGTGACGCACTGTACATCGAACACAAACAGCAATAATTACGGCATCTTCATTACTGCTTCATTAAGAACGTGCCTCCGATATTGGTGTTCACCATAACAAATATATCTTAAAGTGGTCCATCAAGAACCATGGATGTCCTGCTTATACCCTCCACCATAGTAGGGTATATTAATTTTGTTTTTCCGTCTGTAACTCATTGAAATATTCATTTCCGATCCTATAAAGTATATATATTCTTGATCAGCGTAAAATTCTATGACGATCTAAGCATGTCCGTCTGTTGTAATCACTCTAGCTTCTAAACGAATTGAGATACATCGCCACAATTTTGCATAGAGTATTTTGTCTGCAGGAAGGTCAAGTTCGAAGATGGGCTTTATCGGTCCAGGTTTAGGCATAGCTCCCATAAAAGTGTACCCCCCAATTTTCGGTATTTTGGGGTTCTTGAGCGTGTTTTCAACCGAATTCGCTGAAATATAGGTCCACTTTTTCTGATAGCCTCCATATAACGGTACCTCATAATTTTTAGTATTTGGGGGGTTTTGATCATATTTTTCCATCGAATTAGCCGTAATTAAGTATTTTGAGTTATTAATATGTACCAAATCTCTCCACAAAAATTATGAATATAGGTCCATTTTTTCGGATGGCCCCCATATAAGGGTACGTCTAATATTCGGTATTTTAAGGTTCGTGAGCGCATTTTCAACCGAATTTGCTGCAATTTGGTATTTTGTAGTCGCATATGGTAACAAATCTCCCTACAAAAAATTATTAATATTCGCCACCTTTTTGCGGTAGTCCCTATTTAACCTCCTTTTTATACCCTCCACCATAGTATGGAGGGCATATTAGTTTTGTTTTTCCGTTTGTAACGCATCGAAATACTCATTTTCGATGCGTAAAATTCTAAGACGATTTATGCATATCCGTCTGTCTGTTGTAATCACTCTAGCGTCTAAACGAATTGAGATAGAGCCCCAAAATTTTGCATGGAATCGTCTTTTGTCTGCAGGCAGGTCAAGTTCGAAGATGGGCTATATCGGTCCACGTTTAGGCATAGCTCCCATATTTTCGGTATTTTGAGGTTCTTGAGCGCGTTTATCAACCGAATTTGCTGCAATTTGGTAATTTGTAGTCGTATATGGTAACAAATCTCCTTACCAAAAATTATTAATATTTTGCAAAGAAACATGGGGTCTAGAACCAATATTTCGATGAGGCACATTTTCACCGTGTTAAAGTGTATACACCGTCATTAGCTGTAAGGTTGAGGGTATAATTATCCATTAAAAATTTCTGAAATTTGTATTATTGTTTACATTATGGTTTACATAATCCGACATTTGACATGTTCCCTATATTTTCATTTCTAGTACCTGCCCGTATATCTATGGTGGAGGGTATCCAAAGTTCGGCCCGGCCGAACTTAACGCTTTTTCACTTGTTTATATTGAAATATTTATCTGATTTGTTCCGCGTTTTGAAAATTTTCTGAAACTAATTTGGCCCAAAGAAACATGGCATCTAAAGTGTATACACCCTCATTAGCCATAAGGCTGAGGGTATACATATCCATTACAAATTTCTGAAATTTGTATTACGGTTTACATAATCCGTTTTTAGATATGTCGGTATAGGTCCACTTTTTGCTATGTTCCCTATATTTTCATTTCTAGTGCCTGTCACTATATATCTATGGTGGAGGGTAGTTCGGCCCGACCGAACTTAACACTTTTTCACTTGTTTTTGGCTGAAGTTGTTAATATGTCAGCATCTTTGAAAAGTTGATGCTGATAAAATTTTGGAAAATGACACAAACGGGACGTAATCTTCATTTTGTAGTAATTAATTCTACTTTGACATGAAGGCGGTGAAATGAGTAACTTAGTCACAAATCGAGAAAAAAAACATAATAAAAAAACTGCTTTCCTCAACTAGTTTTAATCAATTTGTATACCTTTAAACCTTTGTGCAAATGTTTGTAACATGCAAAAGGAAACGAAATTGACACAAGGCTCCTTTTGAGAATATATAATTTAATTGTAAACAAAGTACAGGTCCCATTTATGATTCGCAATGTTTGAAATTTGGCACAGCCTACTTATTTGACGCAAGGATGGATCCTATTGCAATTAGAGAAAATCGATTCAGAAAAATATTGCAAAGCGTACTGAATGAAGTACAAATTGATGTGTGTAGTTTGGTTGTATTCAGAGTTATATAGTTCCCGTATATATTTTCGTCCGTTTTGAGTTGTTTGATAGAGTCGAAATTTTGTATAGATTAGAACTAAGGATACGCAATGGTCTATTGAGTTTAATAGTTTGTTTCTGTACTTTAAATTAGGGCGACTTAAAATGTTTTCTTAATTTGATTGCGGAATTTTTTCTGTTTGTATTTTAGATATGTTTATGTTTGTATAGAGATATAAATAGATAATAAGGAAAAAATTATATAAAGTTCTTTTCGGTAAAAATAAATTAAAAAAATGTACTGAGGAAAAAATTATTAAGAATATAATTTAAAATGAAAAATTTGATTTTGAAGAAAAAAAAACATCCTTGGCGTTTTCTGGTTTAATTTAACATGTAACAAATAGGACATATTACGCTGTATCACATTGAGACACAGAGTATACAGATTTTGTTTTGAAAATTCTTAGACTACATTGTAATTTATAACTAATATACGCTAATAATTATATGCTATTTGTTTTAGGTAAACCAATTCCAGAAATAACCTGGCTGCGAGATGACATCAAATTACTGTCGCAAAATAAATATATTTCCAGTGGACACTATGTTGAGAGTGAGATATCCCTGGGTCCCCTGGGACGATCCGACTTAAAATCACATATCAGTTGCAGAGCAAGTAATCATCCGCGCGCCACTCCTGTAGAGACTGTGGTACAAATTGATATGAATTGTAAGTATTATAAGTATATTAGAGACTGTGGTTCAAATCGATATAATTGTAAGTATTATAAGTATATTATATAAAACTATATTACAATTATTATGTATTAAACATAAAACTTATTTTTATGCCTTACACCCCACGTCCAAAATCCTCCGGATATTTGGGGGCTACCCAAAAAAGTGGACCGATATTGATGATTTTTATTAGGGAGATAGGTACCAATCTGCCTAATAAAAACGTGGATGCATATAGCCCATCTTCGGCAAAAGACAATCTTCTGGGAAATGTCAGTACCCTATCTCAATTCCTTCAGAAAATAGCGAGTTTGCAACGGACGGACGGACATGTCTAAATCGTCTTACAAGTTTTACCTTTTTCAATGTCTAAAAGGATGACACCAGTTGACCGTTTTTCGTCTATTTTAAATGATTTTATTTTTGTTCAAAAATTTCCACAATGCTTTTAGTAAACGAGAATTAAATAATGTAAAACTTATATTTTCTTAAAAAATAACTAATAAAAACCAAAAAGATTTAAAAAAGGTGTTTTTGCATTCCTTTTCTTCAAATTATTCATAAAATGCATACGTGCAAAAGTGAGTACATAGGAGTTAATTTTGTTTTCCTTACTTTTTTCTTAGAAATTTAAGAGTTAAGTGCTTACATTTAGGTTGTTTTGTTAGGTACAAAAAACCATCAACATTTTTGAATTTGATTTTTTAACTTTTATTTTTATGACGCAAAAAGTGTCAAATATACAAACATGTATTTGCTTTTGCTCGCCACTGTACATTTTATAGTTGAATATATGATTATCCTCTAAAAAGAGGAAGTATCATCGAGGAGAATATATTCCTTTTTATATGGAGTTAATGCTTTTATATATCTTTGGAAATAAGAAGTAAATCTTGGAGAATAAGCAGTCGTTAAACCGACACTTCTGTTTATTGAGATTTCAATAGACAAATTTTATATGCCAAAAGTATTTGTATTTGTTATTTGCACAATGAGAGTGACTCCTCCACCCCTGGTACCGGTTCTGTCATTGCGGTATGCATAGAAGTTTTTAAAATAATGTTTATGGTTGTCGTTAAAAAAGATCTCATTAATCGATGCTACTTACATGTTATGTGTTTCAAGCATAAGTTTTACTTCTTGTAAAATAGTGTAGTTCGACATAACATTACCATTCCAATGCATTATTCTACATAATCTTAATTTATTTGATGTCATATGTACATTTTAACATAGACATAATTTGTGTTGAGTTACAAGTACATTTGTGGTTCTCTGCAGCGTTACCGTTGGGAAATTTCAAAAAGTGGCACAAAAAGTGTCTTTTTTAGAAAATGTCGCATATTTTTTAAAATCAATTTTGTTCAATTAAAACATTAAAAATCGATACAAAAACGAACAAAAACAAAAGTTCATAAAAATACACTGAAAATATACATAAAACTAAACAACAATTCATTATAATGCACATAGTATATACTGTTTACAGATAAAAAATGATTTAAGATTTATTTTTTCGAAACTTCGTTTCTATACTTATACATCTTCCAACTCTTTGTCCAGCAAATTCATTAATGCCAGCTTTGAAAATATGCGCTCAGCACAAGCTAAATATATGCTACAAAGTCGTATAAGTTTTTAAACAAAGGCTCATTCAAACTGTTTTTAGTGTTGCCTATTTTCAACCAAAAAGCTTCTACGTCTTTTACATCAAAAAAATATTCGTATGATTTGTCCATCGCCTTGCATTCTACAATTTAAATTCATTTATGAATCTCTCATGATGAATGACTCATGAATATATGGCTGAACATAGTTATTTATGTCTTCACTAGATTTTATGAATGTAGGATCTAAGAACCTTAAAGCTATCAGACTCTAATTTTTTATCTATTCTGCACAGAATTTCATCACACAGTTGTTGGTAAAAATTTAATATTTCTGTTTCTGAGATCCCTTCAGTTCATATTGTTTCTTCGCCTTCATGCCCTATATATACTGGTAATATCTTTGATATTAATCGCATTTTTATAGTCTACATATCCTAATTCCGTGAGTAGTAAGTATTCCTTTGTACTAAATTGTTTAAAAATTTGTAGTATAATGACCTTTGTTAATCAGGTAAATAATTTGGCATGATTCACTTTGGAATTGTTTATTCATATTGTTCATAATACTTAGAATGTAAACTAAGAACTTTAAATACAGTTTGTTTGTAACAGATAAACCCTTTTGGATTGCTTCTATCTTCTCTAAAGTTTTTGCACATTTTTCTTCAAATTGAGTCCGTATGAAGTAATGTTGTAAGACGGTCCATTGCTCTACGATTCTACTTGCAACATATGTTGCAAGTAGAATCGTAAACCATCTGGTACCACTAAGTCGTAACAGATTATGTTCTGGAATATCAAATATGTTTTCTGTCTGTCTTTCTGTCTTTTGGAGGTATTACAAAAATTAAAAATATTTTTTTTTTGGTAAATTTTCCACGTCGCACAGTGGGTTAGAGTACCATGTTTTCTTGGATCAAATCAGGGAAGCTATGTTCGAATAATTTTTCTTTATTTTTCAGTTAATACCATTAAAATTAAATTTAAAAAAATGTTTTCTAAGTATATTTGAGTATAATTTTATTAAGTAATGCCAAATATCGGCGTAGGTATATAGTGCAAAGAGTACAATATGAGAACTTAAACATTGAATTTTATACATCTTAAAGTTAATCATCCACGTCGTCATCATCCGCATCCAGGGATGGTCCGTATGACGAATTTTCAGGTTTTCGACTGTCAAAAAGGTGAAAACGTCGAAAACGTCATATACCTGTATAAAATGTAGTAAACGTCATTTATTTCAATATTATCACCATATACATTCATTTTCATAACATATATTATTTTTACTGTATATCTGGCTATTCATTACTAGAACTGATAAAAAATTCTGAACTTTTTTAAGAAAAAAATTTTGATATTCGATCTGAATTTGAGTAAAGCATACGTTATTTCAAAATCGATAAATGTAAATAGCTATTTTATAAAAAACATAATGGTTTTGAGTGGGTTTCCGATGTTTCTGACGTATGTATTATACGTCGGAAATGTATGTATGTCATTTACGTCACTGTTTCTGACAGGCCATCTCTGTCCGCAGCATCACCAACTTCTGATAATTGCTCAATATGTAAAAGGGCATTTGACACAATTTCGGGTCCGTGAATAAAAAACTTGTGCAAAGTGGTAGGCATATTATACCAAGGATACGTTTCAACAAAAAGTCGTCGTGTATTGTGTGCATATATTTGGAATTCTTCATTATTAATCTCATGGCCACTGGATACAGCTATAACCGACACGTGCCATTTTATTAAATTAACATATATTTTTGTTATTTCGGCAGATTTTTTTTGCGTTTTGGTGCGTTTTTTGGATTTCTTTATCTAAAAATGTCATCTTGTCATTCATTGTTTGAGCGCTCGAATTCATCATAAGCTTCGACGATTATAAAAAACAGCGTTCGAACTTGTATCTATAAAAAATGCTAATAAAGAACCCTTTTACCCGACTGCTTGAAACTGCACAACACAATCACTATTTGTCACTATTTGTTGAATATTATTAAAATAAACAAAAACAAAATATTATTGTATCAAAGAATATTATTAAAAGAAACAAAAATAACAACAATAAAATAATTAGAAAAAATAACATGAAAAACAAGAAAACACAACACACAACAACAGCACCAGTCGCGAGATCAGTGTGACTTTCAGCTAATTTGATTGCTGCAACACTTGCATTAAACAAAGCATAGCTTCTAAAAGGCACAAAAGGGCAGCGTACAATTTTGCAATATAACACAGATTTATGTTCTCTTTAATATAAACCAAAAATTATGACACGAATGTGGACGAATAATAACTATTTATCCATTTAAAATATAAAAATATTTTTTTTTGGTATTTTCAATATAAATAACTAAATCTTAATCACTTCCAAACACAATTTCATACTCAAATGTTAACAAAGTATTTGCAAAATAACCTAAACTTCATGGTTCCATTGAAAAATGTTTATCTTTTACAATACTTTTTAAAATAAATAAAATTTGCAACGGGAACGTTTTCACTTTTTTCAGCCTTTTTTGGCACAAAAATTTCTGTGAAGTTTGACTTTGAAGTTTCACTACAAAAACACCAGTCAACTTTTGACATTTATTTCAACGACAAGTGATGTAGAATTTTATATACTTTACCAGTGTGCAAAAATTTTTAACGATACTTAAAATTTTACTTTTTAATTAATCCAAGGAAACAGGGTATTCTAACCCACTGTGCGTCGTCTGGTTTTTTCATTAAATTTACGGAGTGGCAAACACAACCAATGTGGAATAAATGGGGAATTTATTTGTTTAATAGGATCGATACACCAGATTTTCTTCCTACCATAGTGGAGGCATTGTAATATTATATTTTCATTACCTAATGTCTCGAGGACGGTGTCACTTATGGTTCGGGCGGATCCATCTATTGTCGGCACCAATCTAAAAAAGTGGTCTGCGGCTTTGTCTTTGCCCATGTGAAAAAGTCTCACTATAACCAGACATTTTTCAGTTGAAACGTCAGTCGTTTCGTCAATGATTAAGTTAAATTTTTTGCTTCTGCAGCTTCACTATCATTGCATGATGACCTCCTTTCCCAAGAACTTCGTTATTTCTTTCGATTTAGTGCGGTTGCAAGATACCTATAAAATACAATATTTCATTAGCTTGTGAAATGGTTTTGACATACAATGATACATACCGACTTAGCTATATTGGAATCTGGATAAGTAGTTGCATTAAACTTTGCCAAGTTGTCCACCGACTTGAATGAATGATTGACACTTATCATTCATAAAACTAACTTAATTTCGGCGACATCTAAATTTGTCGAAAGGGTGTATCCCGCTGTGGCAAAAAGTCATTCAACTGTATATTAGCCTTTTCAGATTT